AACAGATAAAAGGATGGGGTTGTTTCGGCTCTCTTTTGTTGTATCTAATGTTTTAAGGTGAACATCTCCTTCCCGTCTCCCCGTCTCCTCCCCATCCCCATTACCTTTTCTCCACCCTCCCCCTCCCCCTTCTTACTGCACCAGCCTTACATGTCCTTGCCCTAACCTAATTAATCGGGAACATGATCGGTTAGGATGGTGCGTCGAAAGGAGAATAGACGTGCATGTAGGGTAAGAAATACCAAGTATCTAGATGCGACACATGAAGTTCATCAGTATGCTTTGTTTACCTTATCCTTTATTACTTCTAAAGTTATCAAGATCTTGCTTTTTTAACTATTTATTGAAAAAAGAAAAGAAAAAAATCGCAAAGATTTCCCAGATATCGACTCAAGGGCGATTTCATATTCCATAATCTGTCCCATAAATATCATGTTCAGATCGCGCAACATTAAGGTAACGAGCAAGGCCAGTAAAGGTTGAGTTTTGGAAAGCATTTGCGATCATGTTCAGACTGCCCTACGAAGTGGATTCAAATACGATTAAATACCATTGTGAAACGGTACTACACAGATCATCTTTTTATTTGGGTTTTGTATAACCTAACAGGTAAACGCCAGTCGCAGTATTGGAGGTCGTTGGTCAAACTAATTTTCCTAATCGGTTCACTGACACTGATAGGCTCAACTAAGAGCAAGAAATGCGTTAGCTCACATCATTGAACACTGTGTCATCGTCCTTTCTGTTCTCAATAGACAATGGATTCCTACTTTCCAAACTGACCGTAGGATATGGTCAAGTTACGACAAGATGAAAGAAATGATCATGATGATATACGATTGATAGTTCAAGTTACCCATAAGGATGCGTTGCTCATGCTTCGCGCTCTTTTTAAAAGCTATTTTTAAATTGTCTAAGTAAGTGGGTTTTACCAAGGATGGGATTCGTATGAAGACAGTCATTGGACGCATTCCAAGTTCACACACTCAATGCGTCCATGCAGTGTCGGTCAATCTTTACTCACTTTCTGTGACTGTTAAAGGAATTATTCCAGTACTTTTCTAATTCTTTTAAAGATGACTGCCTTTCTCCTATCCGACTAATGAATTATTGTGCATTGGTGGAAAAACAAGTATTCAAACCAGGAGAACTTCTTTACACTACTCTTCAAGGTTACTTGATATCAGAACATTATTATGAGCCGTAACAAAAGGGCATTTGATATGTTTTCTTTTCCTTTGTTACGTCAGAAAGAAGCATTACGTCAAGTCTGTAACGAGGAGTTGTTGAAATGTTAATACTCACGCTATTAATAGATAATAATTACGATACAATAGATATAAGCCTTAATGTGACAAGATATTTTGGCCGACTTTAAAAAAAAAGTTGAATACCAAGACAAGACATGGCTATGTCGGTACCGATCTCGGCCTATAGTTATAGTCTTATGAGTACACATTAATCATTATCTTTTTTGAGCGGCTGGTCAAAATTTCCTTTGTAATGCAAAGTTATTACATACACGTTCTCTTTGCATGGTTTCATTGCACGTAGCACAGGTCTTAGTTTATTTTATCATAGCAGCTATTTAATCATTAATCTAATTGGCTTAACAGGATCAATGTATAGTCAGTATTTTTACATTACCGTGACTGGAATTCATCACCCTTTTAAACACATGATTGCCAGGCGCGGATCCAGGGGGGGGGCCGAGCGGGCCTTGGCCCCCCCCCCCCCCGCAAAAAAAAAAAAAAAAAAAAGAGAGAGAAGAAAGGAAAAGAAGGGAAAGAGAAAGAGGAGAGAAAGGGAAAGAAAGAAGAAGAAGAAGAAGAATAAAAGAAAAGGGGGAAGAAGGAGATCGGGGGGACCGAAAGGGCCTTTCCTCCCAGGCTGTTGACCCCCCCCCCCCCCCTCCAATAGATAAAATAAGAGAGAAGGAAGGAAAGGGAAAGAAAAAAGGAAAAGAGGAGATACTGGCGTACTAATGGGGGGGGGGGGGCTTTGGGGAAATCAAATTCAAACGTGGTTTATTTATAATTCCACAACGGTGGATTACAAATAATGCTGAAATGACATAATTTCCGAGATTTGTCCTCACTTTTTAGTAAATTATACGTTTGTATATGTGTTTGTTGGAAAATGACAAATTCCTAAATTTACAGCCAGGCACGAAATATGATTCTTGAGATTCCTACATGTCAGGGCCCGAGGTACGGCAGGGATCGGGAGCCTCGAGCTCCCTCCCCCCCCCCCCCCACTTTATTTGAAAAAGTATAGTAAAGAGAAAAAAAATAGAATGAGCGCAAGAAAGAACGAATAGTTAACTGCCAGTGTTAAAAAATGAGTCATCAAAATATGCTCATCTGACCGTGATTAAATGCCTAAAACCCTTAAGCTTCCGGGGCTCTGCCCCCTGGATTCCACCTAGGGCGCTACGGCAGGCCCTTAGATGCTCATCTGACGGTAATTTAATGCCTAAAACCCCGCTTTTGGGGGGATCCGCCCCCTGGACCCCACGCCAAATAGTGACCTGCCAGTGTCACAAAATAATAGGTATTAAAAAAAAAATGATCATCTGACCTTAATTAAACGCCTAAAACCCCTGAGCTTCCGGAGCCGGACAAGTTATCAAAATGTGTTTATCTGACCGCAGGCGCGTAGCCAGCCGGGGGGGGGGGGGTCCCCCAAATCGGAAGAGGACGTAGAAAGTAAAAGGAGCAGACAAAGAAAATCTTTGAAATTCAGATAAGGATTAAGAGTATAGAGAACGGTACAACGTATCGTCTTCTTTCTCTAATAATTTAATGAAACGTCAAAGCTTCGCGCAGGAGGGGAGGGGGGGGGGGACTGAATTCAGACAAGGATTAAGAATCGAGAACGGTACAGTGAATCGTCTTCTTTCTCTTATAATCTTATGAAACGTCAAAGCTTTTGCGCGGGAGGGGGGAACCTGAATTCAGACGAGGATTCAGAGGCGAGAACGGTAATAATAATCTTTAATGAAACGTAAAAGCTTCCGCGTTTTGCGGGAGGGGGGGGGGACCTGAATTCAGACGAGGATTAAGAGTCGAGAACGGTACAACGAATCGTCTTCTTTCTCTAATGATTAAATGAAAAGCTTCCGCGCTTCGCGCGGGAGGGGGGGGGGGGAACCTGAATTCTGACGAGGATTAAGAGTCGAGAACCCTACAACGAATCGTATTCTTTCTTTAATAGTTTAATGAAACGTCAAAGCTTCCGCGCTTCGCGCGGGAGGGGAAAAACTAAATTCAGATGAAGATTTTGAGTCGAGAACGGTACAACGAATCGTCTTATGAAACTTAAAAGCTTCCGCGCTTCGCGCGGGAGGAGGGGGGGAACCTGAATTCAGACGAGGATTAAGAGTCGAGAACGGTACAACGAATCGTCTTCTTTCTCTACTGATTTAATGAAACGTAAAAGCTTCCGCGCTTCGCGCGGGAGGGGGGGGGGACCTGAATTCAGACGAGGATTAAGAGTCGAGAACTCTACAACGAATCGTCTTCTTTCTCTCATAATCTTATAAAACTTAAAAGCTTGGGGGTGGGACCTGAATTCAGATGAGGATTAAGAGTCGAGAACTCTACAACGAATCGTATTATTTCTTTAATAGTTTTAATGAAACTTCAAAGCTTCCACGCCTCGCGCAGGAGGGGGAGGGGGGGGGACTGAATTTAGACGAGGATTAAGAGTCGAGAACGGTACAACGAGTCGTCTTCTTTCTCTAATGATTTAATGAAACGTAAAAGCTTCCGCGCTACGCTCGTGAGGGGGAACCTGAATTCAGACGAGGATTAAGAGTCGAGAACTCTACAACGAATCGTCTTCTTTCTCTAATAATTTAATAAAACGTAAAATTTTCCGCGCTTTGCGCGGGATGGGGAAAAACTAAATTCAGACGCGGATTAAGAGTCGAGAACGGTACAACGAATCGTCTTCTTTCTTTAATAGTTTAATGAAGCGTCAAAGCTTCCGCGCTTCGCGCAGGAGGGGGAGGGGGGCTGAATTTAGACAAGGATTAAGAGTCGAGAACTCTACAACGAATCGTCTTCTTTCTCTAATAATATAATAAATCGTAAAATTTTTCGCGCTTCGCGCGGGAGCGGAAAAACTAAATTCAGACGAAGATTTTGAGTCGAGACCGGTACAATTAACGAATCGTCTTCTTTCTCTAATAATTTAATGAAACGTCAAAGCTTCCGCGTTTCGTGGAGGAGGGTGGGGGAAAACTCGCCCCTCTCTGCACCGACCCCCCCCCTCCGCATTACGTCACTGTTGGTCATCGTTACGTACCAATATTTGGCTCGCATAATTTCAAATTTGGGCCCCCCCCCCCTAAGAAATCCTGGATCCGCGCCTGATGATTGCGATCTTTAGCACTTTTAATAAGCTTAGGAGTAAGGAGTAGTGAGGGAGTAAAGTTCTGTGTATCAATATCCTATCCGTGTGCGATAACACTACTCCCCGCCCCTTTACCAACCCCACCGACCACCCCTCCCCACGGCCCCTCCCTCCCTCCCTCCTCGCCTTCGGGTGAGCGATAGATGATGCGGTAGACACATACATAGATCGCATACCAACTTGGACCACGTCACCCCGTATCCAGCGCTGCTACCACAGCGTGTAGCATGAGGCGAGCAGCAAGGAATGCACGTCAACGTATACCCGGCGTATGGAATACTGTATGTAAAGGATATACTCTTTTCGCGCAGACGACATAAGGGATGCACTCTTTCACTCTCTACACCATCTCGTGAAAGATTTTTGCGATTGCCGGTGTATGTCACTTAGTGGGCGGCAGCGGCCAGTGTGCCCACGGAGTTGACTTTTTATTATACTTCTTTTAAAGCTCAAGCGGAAATAATTTCTCGAGATAAACATTTCTAGTGTAATTATTCCGGTTGCACTTGAGCCCTAACATTCCTCCCAAGTCTGAGTGAAGTAGTTCGCTTGAAAACTCTGGACGGTATTTGACGCTTTACTTTCAGATAATTTCAGATCGCAACAGTGCAGCATTTTTAGCTTGGAGTCTTGTGATAGCTGACGAATGCTGGTTCTGTTCATGAGGCGATAGCTGACCAAAATAGGCCAGACACATCTCATCGTGTCGCCTTCAACACCTGTGGCAAACTGGAAGTGGACGTGTTAAGCTCGGATTTACATATTCGCTGGAGGCAAGAATACCCGGAAGTTTCTAGAAGGTTCTCGTGGTTTGCTGAGACTGAGGAGTTATACTTTGGAATGTTCAGTTGCGGATTATACTAGCCAGCAGTGTGCAAAGGTTGGCGTGGACGAGCGTGCAGTGACTTCACATCTAACCCAGACAGGAGGATTTGTTTATTTTTCATTTCGTGTTTGTGTGAAGAGCAGACGATACCCAACCGCGCGGAAACGTGACATTGACAGATATAGGCAAGTAAAATCCTGCTCGAACTATCAAACACCAGACGGTTTTCTGTTATTTGTTTGTCTTTCCATTGACTGGATACTAAACAGCGATCATGAATATCGAAATTAGAATTCCGTTTTCGCATCCCCGGGTGGAATATAGCGTCAATTCTGGACAAGGTGGGTCAATAACTCCGACAGTGATATCTGGCGGTCCTCCACAGTTCGGTCAGCCCACAGTCGAGGTGCACAAGGTGCCGCAGCAGCAAAGTGGTGGTAACCAGGGAATGCCAACTATCACTGTTCTTTCCCCGAATGCAGAACCAACGGTTATCAAGCCAAACCAAGCGCCACCACCATACCTCCAGCAACACTCTCAGCCCGAGTCTAGCACATACGTCACAACAAGTCAATCTGGAGGACCAGGAGGACAATCTAGCGTCAAGACCACCACCACGACCAGGAAAACAACCGAGCGACGCGTTTACGAGGACCCCGGGATGTCACCGGGATCATCGATCTATTCGTCCGATCCTCCTTCACCTTCTCCGACCCTCTACCAAGGATATTACGTCACACCCGTTTCTCTGACGAGCCAGTCATCAGGGCCACCGAAGGGCCTTGGTGAACGCCAGACGAGTAAGATCGAGTACGACAGTCAACGGTTCCAGGTGACCCTTGATGTGAGTTCATACCGACCAGAGGACATTGAAGTTAAGATCAAGGATAATAAACTGACTGTTCGTGCTGAGCACCGTGAAGGGACACCAGAAGGCGGCTTCGTTCAAAGAGAGTACTACCGTCAGTACACCTTGCCTGATGACGTCGATCTGAGGTTAGTCAAAAGCTACCTGTCTGAGAAAGGCATCCTGACCCTGGAGGCTCCCAAGCTACAGTTAGCCCAGGCCAATGAGCGGACCATCCCCATCCAAGTCAGGCCACATGTAGAGGGTTCTAGCGGCAAAGGAACACCGACTGGACCCATCGTGGAAGAATTCACGAGTGATGCTGAGTCCCTCAGGAGATCATAAGCTCGGAATTGCTTGATGGACATCTTGAAGTCACTGTAATCTACTAAAGGCAGCTTTGGTATTCTGAAAATGAAATTTGATTATATTTGCGTGTGTGACCCATATTCAAATTAGTTATCTCGATAACATTTTGCTGTATTTTGAGTCTTCGTTACTCCTAAAATTGATGACAGTTATGAAATTGTTTGATATAAAATGTGTGCGAATCATATCAGGATAGAAAACGTACTTGAAATGTAATCATGACGACATTTTCGCTCATCAGGAGAAGCGATAGCACTGACAACGGATTTCCTGTACGTCTTTAAGAGTGATTTTGATTTTTGATTTGTTTTATGAGCAAAAAAAGAACAGTCTAAGGTAACAGGTTTCGGATCGTAAGGTTAATTATTGTAGATAGAATATTGATGAATGTGTCTCATTGACGAAGCTCTAAGAACTTTTATTTGAGAAGGAAAGCAGTGTAAATATTTATGGGGGAAAATACATCTCAGACAACAATGGCTGCGTGAATGAAACTGCCTATTATCATACCTTAAGAATGTATGTATTTTGTAAAGTTGACCTCTTCTGTAAGTACAGCTGTAGTTTCTTTTTCTCAAATTGATACGTTTAGACGCACGCTGAGAAATTATGTAGTTCCTAGTATGTTTGTGCTCGGTTGATTTAGAGCTTATGGGGGAACGAATCAGAGCTTTCATTGTATAGAACTAGAATGCGTTTGAAGCCACTTTATTGAACAACTAAAAACAAGTTTCACCAACAGATCTGTGATTGGTAACCTGTGACTTTCCTATGGTATGTGGCAGATAATGCTCCGAAGAAAACATGACTGCTTTCAACTTTGACATTTTAGATTTCGGTCGGAGGTGTGTACAAAATATGTACATACTGGACACTGCACAATACTCATTATTACAGACAGGATTTATGTCAATTTGAAACCACTGATGGATTATTTAAGGAGATGCTGGTGTCAAAGATTTTGCATCTGTCAACAAAAATGAGTTTGACCTTTATAGATGACTTGGTACTGGTCAGTGAAAAACGACTCTGACTCATTAAAATGCTATGTGCTGAAGGGGGCAGATGGTCAAGTCAGTCATATAAGCGACCTGCATTCATAAGGGTGACTGTTAAATCTATCAAGACTAATATATATGTGGCTAAAATTAGCTCCATGCATACCTTTCTGCATAAAACTAATTGCCACAAAGGGTTGCAACACAAGGTGCGAAAAGACTTTCCCATCGTTAATACATCACTGACAATCTCCAGTTGGCATAATTCGCATTTTGCCGGCCGGCTTTTATCAATTAGAGATATGTCGGAGCTCCCTGGCCTGGATATAGACGAAATTGACCAAATCTTTCTCCATCCATTGAAGGTCTAAAAGGTCCATCTTTTATTCCACCCCTTACAATGCTGCTCGACTTTTGTTCAGGTTTGAAAGCCTTCCATTTGCTTAAGAGACCGTTCAAGACCGGACTAATATTTGTCCAGTTTGAAGGAATTTTTGGGATGCACATTGTTGAAGTAGCTTCCAAACCTGATTCAACAAGAATGTAATCTTGAGCTTTCATCAGATGGTAGAAAGAGAGAGAGAGAGACTCGCCTCGAGTAAAAAGAGTGTTTCTAATGTCTTGAGTATGGGGTGTAATCTCTTCTGAGCTTAGTCCCAGGGCTAGCAAACATTGTTGGCATTCAGGTTACATGTGAAGGGTCTTTGGGATAAAAGGTAAGGACATAGCGGTATTGTACGTTGTCGAATTAGTCCTCATGTGCTTTGTCTAAAGAAAGGCTCTGCTGGCATTGATAGATGTTGCATATTGTCGAACTTATTATATGAGAATTGTAAAACGCATTTCTGTTGATATTTAAACCAAATTATGAGAACCGGTCTCACGTGATTAGAAGAAATTGCTCTGAAGCCTATCTTCTGAATGTATCATATATGCTTTGTCATCACTGGGTGTGTATATTACTCCACTGGATAGAGAATATATTATTGAAAACATCATCAGACATATCATCATATGCGTCATATTAGTCAAATAATATCTGCAAATGCTCACTGATTATATTTGATTGCATCCATTTATTTTGTTACTTGATTTCTAAATCACGACCATCTAAAACTGAAATAATTCAGTTTATAAATTATATCTATTCATGATGGCAAAATATTGGGGTGATTCTGATATGACAGACACAGTAAAGAGAATTACTTTCTGCTCCATGAGATGGTGAAAGGGGGAGGGAGCTCGACTGAAATGGTGGACTATCTATCCCAAGACGGCTGTTTTGATTGTAATGACGTCATCATCAGTAACCCAATTCTTGACAGGGCAGTGTCCGTTCCTCAAACAGCTGTGAGCGACTTCCGCTGTCCCAGCATGCACTAGACATGGTTAGACAAATAATGTGCCGTCTGAACGCATGGGCAATTGAAATGCGCTTGTGTTTCGCCGTTTGAAATATTGGGGAGATTGGGGCCGTGATGGAAAGAAACCCTATGTTCAGTTGACCTTTAGCAGGACCTTGGAGGTTAGATTGAAACTTGGATGTCACGTTCCTTAGATATTCAGTTCCGATTGTAACGTCGCGTGTCTTGAAGGTAAAGGGCAAGGTCTGTAGATGATTCAATGTAGGCTGTCAAAATGACAACAATACCATATTCCTTATTCGGCCGTTGTGGATGCCTTTGTAGAGAGTAAGGCACACAGTTGTCCTTTATATTTGATTTACCATTTTGCAAAACTAGTGTCTTACAGTAGCCCGTAGTTTTGTTAAAACACGTAAGCAGTTCATACGGTAATCATCATCCAAGTAATGCTCTATCGTGACCTGAGCCTACACAAGATATGCCTGCAGGATAAGTCATATTCGTATACGGCGGAAGTTGCACATTAACTATATGTTAAAGTATATCATATATCGCTCTTCTTGCTCCAAATCATGTAGTTAGTTTGATTAGCAGCGTTCGCATCCAAAAACAGCGAACTCATTGTCCGCTTGAGGATGATTTCAGATCTGTCCATACCTGGTATATAATTCATATCGTGTGTGGTTAATGGAAATTTGATTGAATTAAAACGTGGATGTGTATTAGGTATTGTGGTTCAGGCATACCAGGGGACTTAAAACCTTGAACAGGGTAGTGTGGTCTCGCGGCAAAGGCGGATGACGAAAATGATGCCGAGGACAAAAGTCGGTTGACGAGAACACATCGCGTGATCGTAGCCAGCAGCACTACAGCTTGGTCGCAAATACGGTCAGACAGATGACAATTAATATTACAAATATAGCTCATGATTCGATAGTTTTTAAATCTTGAAACCAAGCCAAGTTTAATTTTGTTTCATGAGGCTGTATATTACCATGATAACTAGGGACTAGAGGTTTCATCTTTCAGAAGGAATAATTAGAGTTTCTAAACGGAAAGTTCTGTTTGATTTGTTTATTGGCAGCTTTAGGTAACTTATTATCCTGAATTTCAGTAAATTAACAAAGGGTTTACCCAATATTTACTTCCTTCCGTTTGGCATACCGTTGCCGCCAAATTATTACCTTTTTCCTCAAGCTTATCATGTCGATACGATACATTCTGTGACAAAATAAGACGGTAAAGAATTGGTAGCAGCCTGTGCAGAATCTTCTGTTTTTCATTATACCAATGCCGCTTGGTTGTCTCATGGGAGAGACGAATGTTGCAGACGAACAGATGTGCAAAAATGAAATCAACAAAAAACTTGTTCGCGCCAACTATCCCATGGGGACACAACATGTCAAACGAAGTATGACAAGACAAGGACGAACGCAGGGAGATTCCTCTCTATCTTATCTTTCTTTGTGGAGAGATCAAAACAAATATCTCACAAGATCCCCGCCTGACGAAAAGTGATGATGATAAATTGTCGTCTGATGGATGTTGTGCCTGCGTTTTTATTGTCAAGAAGAAGAGGAGGAGAAAGATAGAGGGACAACATCACTTTGATAAGATTGATAAGGTCTGCTTGGGAAAAGGGTTAGGAGTGTGAACAAGTCATATTTATCCAAGAGAATATATTGTAAAATTATTTAGAACAGCGTTATCTTTCAGAGTTTGTATAACGACTGATTTGAGATTGATGTGGTCATACCGACAATGATCTTCAAGGGTGGAGTAGCTTTATCCTTGACAAAGGGGTTAGTGGGGAGAAATTACCCCCTCCCCCCCCCCCCCCAATTAACGGACATTAAATTAGTGGTGCATTTTACAATCTATTGGCGCGATGAGCGGATGATGTCAGCAAATTGTCCCGTCAATGGATCCGATTTATTGCCATAAACAAGATGGCAGTTGCAATAGCGTTTAAGCTGTGTGATTTATCCTTGCTTTAAAGGCATCGTTTAACAATGTTGAATCTGAGATGCATGGCCCTACGTGTTATCAGTGTCTGTGAAGCCCAAACAGAAATCGCGCTTCAGAATGAACAAGAAGTGTCTGAAAAACGTAAAAATCTTTGAGTGACCGGTTTTACCATACTCGTTTCCCAAATAGACTGTAGTGTTATGAAGACCGTTTGCCAAACTCAACATTTGGTTTTGATTTCCAATCATAAATAACTTGATAATCAGACAGGCGATCGGCTTGTAAAAGTCATGGGGTTCCTAACTGACTCAAAGGTTTATAATTATCATTGCAGCATGAGCTAAATCGAGGGTTTTGTTTCAGAATCTGAGACAAAAATACCAGATCCCCTTAAAGATATATGGTGGTTTGGTTGAGTTTCACTAACATGTTATCTACTGAAGATGTAAATGTAGTATATCTGAAACTTTGGTTTGCACATCAAGTCTTGATAGTTGTACGTATCTTAAACAAATGGAAGATTTATTTAGGCTCGGCAAATGGTTTGGATCAAAGAGTGGAGGTTATATCAGATAACTAACCATCCATTGCGGTGCTATGGCATATCAAGGTTCCACATTGAACTATTTAGGTAGAAAATAGAATA